TATGCTGAGTGGAAGAAGCCAGGCATAAAGAGTACACACTGTATTATTCCATTTATATAAGAGTCTAGGCCAGGCGTGGTGGCTCATGCCTGTAATTTTAGCACTCTAGGAGGCTGAGGCGGGTGGATTGCTCAAGGTCAGGAGTTTGAAACCAGCCTGAGCAAGAGCAAGACCTCGTCTCTACTAAAAATAGAAAGAAATTAATTGGCCAACTAAAAATATATAGAAAAAATTAGCTGGGCATGGTGGTGCATGCCTGTAGTCCCAGCTACTTGGGAGGCTGAAGCAGGAGGAAAGCTTGAGTCCAGGAGTTTGAGGTTGCTTTGAGCTAGGCTGACGCCATGGCCCTCTAGCCCAGGCAACAGAATGAGACTCTGTCTCAAAAAAGAAAGAAAAAAAAGAGTCTAGAAAATGCAAACTAATCTATGGCAACAGAAAGCAAATCAGTAATTAGGGACAGAAATGGAAGGAAAGATGGATAGTAAAAGGACACAATGAAATTCTGGAGGAAGGTGTAAATGTTAGGTGTCTTCATTATGGTGGTGGTTTCATGTGTACATACATCTATCAAAACTGTGTGGTTTACTGTCAATAAATTATATTACAATAAAGTGGCTTGGAGAATGTATTAATATATCTAAGAAAAAATACATACCCTACATCAAATATTAAAATGGATTTTAAAGTTACAATAACACCAGGTACAGTAGCTCACATCTGTAATCCTAGCACTCTGGGAGGCCGAGGCAGGAGGATCACTTGGGCTCTGGAGTTCAAGACCAGCCTGAGCAAGAGCGAGACCCCATCTCTACAAAAAATAGAAAAATTAGCCAGGTATGGTGGCATGCACCTGTAGTCCCAGCTACTCAGCAGGGTAAGGCAAGAGGATCGCTTGAGCCCAAGAGTTTGAGGTTGCAGTGAGTTATGATGATGCCACTGCACTCTACCTAGAGCCACAGTGTAAGACTGTCTAAAAAAAAGTACTAAAATCATTCAAAATGATACTAATTCCAGAATAAAGAAAGAAATCAGGGGGAATGGGCATTTATTGAAACCTTAAAATCTGTACCCCCATAATATGCCAAAAAAAAGAGAAGAATATACATATATAAAAAAAGAAAGAAATCAATGGAAACAGACTCAAGCATATATAAGCATTTAGTCTATGATAAATGTGGCATTCCAAATCATTGAATTATCCAGTTGTAAAATAAAAAGTATTTGAACTTATGACAAAAATTAATATACTTAATATATTTTATAAATCAATATGAAAAAGATAAATATTCTAATTAACAGATAGCATAAGAATCCTTTATAAAAGAAACACAAATGGCCAATGAATATTAGCAAAATGCTCAGCCTCTTCTATAATAACACAAATGTAATTTTTAAAAAGATACCATTTGTAGCTTATTAAATTTGCAAAGACTTTTAAAATTATAATACCCAAGCCAGGTACAGTGGCACACACCTGTAGTCTCAGCTACTAAGAGGCTAAAGCAGGGCTGGGAATGGCAGGGCAGCTCACACCTGTAATTCTAACACTTTGGGAGGCTGAAGCAGGAGGATTGCTCGAGATCAGGAGTTCAAGAACATCCTGAGCAAAAGCAAGACGCCATTTCTACAAAAAAATAGAAAAAAATAGTCAGGCATGGTGGTGGCATGCACCTGTAGTCTCAGTTTCTCGGGAGGTGAGGCAGGAAGATTGCTTCAGCCCAGGAGTTCAAAGTCAGCCTAGGCAACATGGCCAGACCCAGCGTGTGCATGCGTGTGCGTGTGTGTGCGCGTGTGCGTGTGTGTGTGTGTGTGTGTGTGTGTGTGTGTCTATCTCCAATGCTAGATTGAGAGTCAGGCTATAAATCAGAAAAACCTCTCTGGAAAAAGAAATATGTCAAAAATTCTAAAAATTATAAATCCTTTGGTTCATTTTTTTAATCCCACTTCTAGCACTTTATTGTACAGAAAAAATAAAACAAGTACATAAAGATTGTTGTCCCATCTTTACTAACAGTAGTAGGGAAAAAAACTGAAAATGACTCAAATGTCCAAAAACACAAGATCAATTAAATAAACTAATAGTATAGTCAAACAATTAAATACTATGCAATCATTGAAAATTATGATGTAGTTTCATATTTATTGACATATTAGTATGTTTATGATATATTAAGTAAAAATAAGTTACATAGCAGTATGTAAGGTAAGACACCCTTTAAAAAGTATAAATTTCTATTTTTGTTTAAAGCATAAGTTCCTATGCATATATTTACCTGGGAAAACTTTAAAAGTATATAAAACAAAATCTTAATAGTAATTTTTCCTGAAATGTGGGAGTAGAGAAAACCTTAACTTCTCCTTTTTGTATATCATGTATTTTTTTCTATAATAAATATGTATTTCTTACATAATTAAAACTATAAAATACAAGAAAAAAGAAATTAAATTGAAAATGTGGTAAACAAATCCAATCTTTAATAAACTCCAGTTCTCTCCAGGTACAATATAAATAATTTTTTTTTGTTTCAAGAATATTCTTTTGTTTTTTTTTTTTGAGACAGAGTCTCACTCTGTTGCCCAGGCTAGAGTGCCGTGGCATCAACCTAGCTCACAGCAACCTCCAACTCCTGGGCTCAAGCGATCCTCCTGCCTCAGCCTCCTGAGTAGCTGGGACTACAGGCATGCGCCACCATGCCTGGCTCATTTTTTCTATATATTTTTAGTTGGCCAAATAATTTCTTTCTATTTATAGTAGAGATGGGGGTCTCATTCTTGTTCAGGCTGGTTTTGAACTCCTGACCTTGAGCGATCCACCTACCTCGGCCTCCCAGAGTGCTAGGATTACAGGCATGAGCCGCCGCGCCTGGCCTCAAGAATATTCTTTGGTGTTACAAATCAGTATGTTAGGTTTATCTAAATAACAGCAACAACAATTAACTTTTGTTGACAGCTTATTCAGGGCCCTGTGCTAAGCACATGTCCAACATTATTTCCAACATTTCCAACTGTTATAGTCACTTTATACCCCAGTAAACTGAGGCACAGAGATCAAATAACTCGCCCAAGGTTACAGAGCTAATTAGTGGCAGATCTGGATTTTTAATATAGTCTATGTGATTCCAGAGCCTGTTCTTTCAAAACTACACTATACGTATTCTGAAATTTAAGGAAGAACTTTTTTTAAGGGCTATCTATATATTAGAAATAAGTTACCTTGGGCTGGGCATGGTGGCTCACGCCTGTAATCCTAGCACTCTGGGAGGCCGAGGCGGGCGGATTGCTCAAGGTCAGGAGTTCAAACCAGCCTGAGCAAGAGTGAGACCCGTCTCTACTATAAATAGAAGAAATTAATTGGCCAACTAATATATATAGAAAGTTAGCCGGGCATTGTGGCACATGCCTGTAGTCCCAGCTACTCGGGAGGCTGAGGCAGCAGGATTGCTTAAGCCCAGGAGTTTGAGGTTGCTGTGAGCCAGGCTGACGCCACGGCACTCACTCTAGCCTGGGCAACAAAGCGAGACTCTGTCTCAAAAAAAAAAGAAATAAGTTACCTTAATTGCTCCTGCTAAAGGAAATTGGCTGGTTAGAGAAAAGAAATAAAAGCAGATTAACTTTTCACAGTAAACCCACCTTACATTTTGAATTTTGTACTAAGTATGTTGGTATATTTATTATCCAGTTAAAATAAAATTTAGGCTGGGTACAGTGGCTCACTTATAATCTATATCTAACCTATAATCTCAGCACTTTGGAAGGCTGAGGCGGGAGGCTCATTTGAGGCCAGAAGTTCAAGACCAGCCTGGGCAATATAGTGAGACCCTGTCTCTACAAAAAATAAGAAAAACTAGCCAGGCATGGTGGTGTGCACCTGTAGCCCCAGCTACTTGGGAGACTGAGGCAGGAAGATTGCTTGAGCCCAGTAGTTCAAGGTTACAGTGAGCAATGATCAGGCCATTGCACTCCAGCACGGGAAAGAGAGTGAGACCACATCTCAAAAAAACAATTAAATTTTAAAATAATTAGCCCAGGAGTTTGAGGTTGCTGTGAGCCAGGCTGATGCCATGGCACTCACTCTAGCCTGGGCAACAAAGCAAGACTCTGTCTCAAAAATAAAATAAAATAATAAAAAAAGGAGACATATAATGTTTTTGTTTTCTCCAATTCAAGATTGATTTTGGCCTTGGTGTAACTTCAAACAACATTAAAATTACAGCTGCCAATGTCTTTTGGATACTTTAGGATATGTCTTAGTCTGTTTGTGTTGCTATAAAGGAATACCTGAGGCTGGGTAATTTATAAAGAAAAGTGGTTTGTTTGACTCATGGTTTTGCAGGCTGTACAAGAAGCATGGTGCTGGCATTTGCTTCCAGTGAGGGCCACAGGCTGCTTCTAGTCATCACAGAAAGCAAAGGGGAGCCAGAGTACAGGGATCACATGGTGACAGCAAGAGCAAAAGACAGAGTGGGGAAGCACCACTCTCTGCTCTAGGTGGGGGAGGAAGTCTCATGGGAACTAACAGAGTGAGAACTCACTCATTACTGTGAGGACTGCATCAAGCCATTCATTCATGAGAGATCTACCTCCATGACCCAAACACCCCGTTAGGCCCCATCTCCAACACTGGGGATGGAATTTCAACATGAGGCTTGGAGGGTCATATATCCAAACTAGCAGGATACCACAGTACAAAGAATAGATCCCTAAGCTGGCTAGACTAAATGTAAAAAGTAGTGATAAACATGGTAAGTCCTTAGAATTTTTCCAGTTTATCTCTAATTATCATCAAGATTGGGATAAACTAAAAATAGTGGATATGATTATCTTAGGGGGCCTTTAGCTCTGATGGTCTATAATTTTAATTCCTCTGTATTAAAGACATAACTTTCTACAGATAACATTACTTTAGGAATCCTTTTGGAATTTCACTAAAGTAATCATTTAAAACTATATTATAATTAATGCAAATTTCTCAGATATAAGTTCTTAATCTTTTAACATACATGAACTATATCTGCCAACAATCCATTAAGCTTTGGGTATTTTTTTCTTGCATTTTTGGGATGTTGAACTTGAGGAAGGACCACCCCAGCAAAAATGGGACTTGTAGAAAAAATATTCTGCAAGTGAGGTGTCAAATTGCCTGAAAAGAGAAGAAATATGTATATAAGAAAATAGAAATTAAGTCTACAATCAAAATAATCAAATTGCTATGTGATCTCCACTAAATTACCAAAACCAAGACAAGGAAGAATAACAATTATGTCTTTTAATTTTATAAAATTAATCAAGAAACTATCTGATTATGTCATTTAAAAAATCAAGGTTTCCCAAGTAATCTGTTGATAGCACATAGGCAGCAAAGAATATAAAATCACCAGGTTCATTTTCTTTTCCCAAACTATAAGACATAATGTGTAACTCCATCAGAAAAAGTACAAATTTTACACATTACCATATGGGAATCTAAATGGTTTAACTATTAAATGTTCATCAGCAAAGCAGGTTGAAGCCTTACTCAAAACAAGTAAAATATTAAAATTATTTAGGAATCAAAATATTGCCAAAAAGAAACAAGGGCAGTAGTAGAAGAATGGAAAGAACTATAAATATAGTTTTGCTATAACTCGTTCTGTTATTCTGGGTAAATCTTTTCCCATTTTGTGCCTTGGTTTTCTCATCTGTAAAATGGCAAGATTAATCCCATCATCTCTAAGGTGTTCTCTAATATTAACCTTATAACCAAAACTTTAAAGAAGACATGAACAAAGTGTGATGCTTTTAGGCTCTAAACGGGATCTTAATATTTATCTAGATTTCACTGTTCTTATAATTGTTCACACTACCTTCCTCATAATCTTCTCATTACATGTTTATGTTGAGCTTCCTGACCACACAAAGGGCTCCTCAAACTCCTCAGTCAGAAATATTGAAAAAACAAATCAGGCCAGATTTAGTGGATTATACCTGTCATCCTAGCAGTTTGGGAGGCCAAGGTGGGAGGATCACTTGAGGCCAGGAGTTTGAGACCAGCCTGAACAACAAAGTGAGACTCTCTTCCCTACAAAAAGTAGAAAAATCAGCCAGGCATGGTAGCATGCACCTGTACTCCCAGCTAAGAGCCTGAGCAAGAGTCTCTACAAAAAATAGAAAAAATTATCTGGGCATGGTGGTGTATACTTAGTCCTAGCTACTAAGAAGGCTAAGGCAAGAGGATCGCTTGAGCCCAGGAGTTTGAGGTTGCAGTGACCTATGATGACACCACTGCACTCTAGCTGGGGCAACAGAGCAAGACTCTGTCTCAGGGAAAACAAAACAAACAAAAATACTCATCAAATCATTGAAATACTGTGAGCAAAGCTAATCATCAAAATGTTTGCGTGGTCAGAGAGGATCATTAAATAATTAAGCTCTCATTAAATACATTCTTGAATAAGTTATTTAGCTATCTGCTATCTAGTACAGTTTTCAAAAAGGAGGGTGATTTCTGAGTAAATAATTGTCTGCCTCCAAGTGCTTTAAAAAAAATCTGACCCAACTCTATTATTAATATTTAAAAATGCTTGTTTAGAGGTGCAAATATTTGTAGAAACCAAAAATTTTTTTTTAGACAGAGTCTCACTCTGTTGCTCTGGGTACAGTGCAGTGGCGTCAGCCTCACTCACAGCAACCTCAAACTTCTGGGCTCAAGTGATCTTCCTGCCTCAGCCTCCCAAATAGCTGGGACTACAGGTGTGTGCCACTGTGCATGGCTAAATTTTCTATGATATTTTTAGTAGAGACGGGTCTTGATCTTGCTTAGGCTGGTCTCGAACTCCTGAACTTAACTAATTCTCCTGTCTTGGCCTCCCAAGGTGCTAGGATTACAGGCATGAGCCACCATGTCTGGCCTCTAGAAGCCAAAATTTAAAAACAACTTTTAGACAAATTAAAGTACATTCCTATCTTACTATTTTTCTTAGCAACAACCATCAACATATGGCTTAGCTATTTGCATCCTAGGAAAGAAAACATTATTTGCAAAAGCGGAGAATTTTCTGCCTTCTTTATCAGCCCAAGGCATCCATCTGCTAGTATCTATCAAAACAATATGCTTCCTTGTTCTTATGCAGAAAAGCTAAATTTGAAAATCAAACAGAATTGATCTGGCTATATTTATTTTAGACATGTAACAGAGTATTTCAGTAATACCTACCTACTTTTAAAACAATTTTGTGGAGTAAATCCAAATCAGAGCTGCTAGGAAGATGGGGATTTCCGGTGGCCATCTCAATGATCATACAGCCCAAAGCCCAAATATCCACAGGTCTGAAATAGATCAGAATAAATCACGTATTCAGGCAGAAATATGTAAAATATTCTTGTTTTTCTAGACAGAGTTTCATTCTGTCACCCCTGCGTAGAATGCAGAGGTGTCATTGTAACTCACTGCAACCTCAAACTCCTGAGCTGAAGCAATCCTCAGCTTCAGTCTCAGCTTCCCGAGTAGCTGGGACTATAGGTGCACCCCACTACACCCAGTTAATTTTTTCTAGTTTTTGTAGAGAAAGGGGTCTCTCTCTTGCTTGGGTTGGTCTTGAACTCCTGACCTCAAGTGATCCTCCGCCTCAGCCTCCTAGAGTGCTAGGATTACAGGCGTGAGCCACTGTACCCAGCCATAAAATATCCATTCTTAAAAACATGTTTAAATTACATCAAGGACAAAGAAACAATAATTTTTAAGTGGTATCATTTATAAATTTTCACTGTAGCATCATATACCAACTTTAAGATATATATTAAATATCATCACACTTTATTAATAACATTAAATAATTTGTATTTAAGTTGCATGAGAAGTCATATATCAGTCAAGATAAAATTAATTATAAAATCGTTTTCAGATACATATGGACATTACCATAAATGGCTTATGAATTAGAATACTGAATACTATTATAAAACCTCATACGTAAGAAGTAAAAAATTTTTCAACATATAGAAAAAAAGAAAAATGAATAAAAAAAGAAATTAAAATAAAAAATAAACAAAAAAGCATAAAAGTATAAAACTTTAATCTCAAATAATTTACTGGTTATATTTCATTTATTTATTTTAACCCATCAATCCAATTTTTTTCCACATAATTTATTTTTTTAAAAATAGTTTCTGGCCAGGTGTGGTGACTCAAACCTATAATCTCAGCACTTTGGGAGGCTAAGGGGGTAGAATCACTTGAGGCCAGGAGTTTGAGCCAGCCTGGGCAACATGGCAAGATCTTGTCTCTACAAAAAATAAAAAAAAGTAACTGGTGTGGTGGCACATGCTTATAGTCCCAGCTACTTGGGAGGCTGAGGCAGGAGAATCACTTGAGGCCAAGAGTTGGAGATCAGCCTGAGCAACATGGTGAGACCTCCCACCCCTTTACTGAAAAATAAATTAGCCAAGCCTGGTGAACACTTGTAGTCACAGGAGGATGAGGCAGGATGAGGCTTGAGCCTAGGAGTTCAAGGCTATAATCATGTGAGCTATAACCATGCCACTGCATTCCAACGTGAGCAACAGAGCAAGACCCTGTATCTTAAAAGAAAATAAATGAAGTACTAATACATGCATTTTTTTTTTTTTTTAGACAGAGTCTCACTCTGTTGCCTGGGCTAGAGGGCTATGGTGTCAGCCTAGCTCACAGCAACCTCAAACTCCTGGGCTCAAGTGATCTTCCTGGCTCAGCCTCCTGAGTAGCTGGGACTACAGGCATGTGCCACCATGCCCGGCTAATTTTTTCTATATATTTTTAGTTGGCCAATTAATTTCTTTCTATTTTTAGTACAGACGAGGTCTCGCTCTTGCTCAGGCTGGTTTCAAATCTCTGACCTTGAGCGATCCACCCGCCTCAGCCTCCCAGAGTGCTAGGATTACAGGTATGAGCCACCACACCCGGCCTTTATTTTTTTTTATTTTGCCTGTTACAGGGATGCAAATGTTTAGGTTACATATATTGCCTTTGCCCCACCCAAGTCAGAGCTTCAAGCGTGTCCATCCCCCAGATGGTGTGCACTGCACCCATTAGGTGTGAATATATCCATCCCCTCTTCCTGCTCCCATCTGCCCGACACCCAATGAATGTTGTTATTATATGTGCACTTAAGTGTTGGTCAGTTAAAACCAATTAGATGGTGAATACATGTGGTGCTTGTTTTTCCATTCTTGTGATACTTCACTTAGCAGAATGGGCTCCCACTCTATCTAGGAAAATACAAGAGGTGCTAGATCACCATTGTTTTTTGTGGCTGAGAAGAACTCCATGGTATACATACACCACATTTTATTAATCCGCTCATGTATTGATGGGCACTTGGGTTGTTTTCACATCTTTGCAATTGTGAACTGTGCTGCTATACACATTCCAGTGCAGATGTCTTTTTTATAGAATGTCTTTTGTTCTTTTGGGTAGATGCCCAGTAATGGGATTGCTGGATCAAATGGTTAAGTTCTACTTGTAGCTCTTTTGAGGTATCTCCATATTACTTGCTATAGAAGTTGTACTAGTTTGCAGTCCCACCATGTCCCTTTAAATTCTTCAAGATTGATTATTTGTATTTTAGGTGTTGTTTCACATTAGACTGAGACCATGCTACTTTTGAGGCACCTACAACAGTACAATTTAAAAACTATTTGCCAGGCTTTGCAAAGGGGGTGTCATTCTTCCAGGAAGTATCAATAGGAAACTTGGCAGTTCCTATTGCAACACTGGCAAAGTGAGGTAAATATTTTAAAATCTTTGCAGCATGTAGAGACTAAAGATAAGCAAAGGAGGCAGCTCTGCCCAGGCTGTGGCACAGCTTAAAGCAAGCATGGATACATCTGCATAGGTTTCTTGGGTCTTAGGCCAGTCAATTCATGAGGACTGAATGAGCACAGCAGCAGTAGTAGCCAGCACTGTAGGTGACTATATGGTCGTTCTGTTGTTACCTTTAGAGGTGTCCCTCTTTTTCGCCCCAACTCAGATGCAGAGGACAGAGAATGTCAGGAGCAGGGATGACAGATATAACAAGGGAAAAGAGAGATGTCTAGGAAAGGACAAGCAAGATCCCAAAATATACATACTTTCCATAAGAAGTATCTTTTAATACTAATTCTGGAGCTCTATACCAGCGTGTGGCCACATAGTCCGTATAAATGTCCCCTGGAGCTGCTAGTGTTCGTGCAAAACCAAAATCACAGAGCTTTGTAATTCCTGACTGGGATACTAAAATATTCTCAGGTTTTATGTCTCGATGAATGATCTAAAAAACAAATAGAGAATATGAAATATATTAAAATGAGACTTTATTATCTAGAGAATCTCTCAAAAATTATACAAAGAAAAATCTTGTTAATTAAGACAGTGAAGCTATTTCCTTACCACATGCAAAAGGGTTAACTACACAACACAAATAGGCTTTCAATTTTTGCTCCATCACCTCAAAATGAAATGAAGCCAAGAAAATAGACATAATGCTAAAAAGGCAAATCACATTCCTATAAGGAAAATCAAAAGAACTCAGTGAAAGAAATGTAACTTTTCTTTAACCCCATGTCCCACCCCAGTTACTGCGCTTTCTCTTATTTCCTTCACAGCTAAACCTCTTAAAGACATTACCTGTACTCAGTCTTCACTTTCTGACCACTCAGTCAAGAAGATAATGCCATCTCATCTTCTTTTTCCACACTGCATTAAATTTCCCTAGCCAAAGACATCTACATTTTCGAAACATCAATAGACACTTCTCGATCCATATCTTTATTTCTTAGTGTAAAAATATTTCCAACTACTCCACCATTCCTGGTTTCTGAGACTTAAAATTCTCCCAGTCTCCTTCCATCTACCTGGCAGTTCCTCTTTCTCTGTCTGTCCTTTAAATGCAGGGTCTTGGTTTTAGGCTTTCCTCTCTTCTCAGACATTGCTTTCTGGTTATCTCATTTACTCTTTTTCTTGGACCACTTTTGTCATTTGGTTACAGGGACAACACATTCTCTTGGGCTTTTTCCCACCTATTGGCTGCTCCATTTCAATATCTACTCTTTTGTTTCAATTATTATTTGTAGTATTTTATTTATTTTGATAAATTAAAATTGTATATATTTATTATATGCTTATGTATGTATTATATTTTGGGGTTTTTTTGAAATAGAGTCTCACTCTGTTGCCCAGGCTGGAGTGCTGTGGTGTCAGCCTCGCTCACAGCAACCTCAAACTCCTGGGCTCAAGCAATCCTTTTGCCTCAGCCTCCCGAGTAGCTGGGACTACAGGCACGCGCCACCATGCCTGGCTAATTTTTTCTATTTTTGGTAGAGATGGGGATCTTGCTCTTCTTGCTCAGGCTGGTCTCAAACTCCTGAGCTCAAATGATCTGCCCGCCTCTGCCTCCCAGAGTGCTGGGATTACAGGCATGAGCCACCATGCTCGGCCTATTTATTATGTTTTGAAATATCTATGTATATACCATGGAATGGCTAAATCAATTAACATATGTATTACTTTAAATACTTATTTTTTTGTGGTGAGAACACTTAAAAATCTATTTTCTTAGCAATTTTCAAGATTACAATACATTACTGTCATCACCATTTTATACAATGAAATGGTCCTTTGACCAACATCTCCCCAATCACCCGCCTCCTCAACCCCTGGTAACCACCATACTGCCTACTTTTATGAGTTCAACTTTTTTAGGTTCCATATATGGGTGAAATCATCCAGTATTTATCCTTCTGTGCCTGACTCATTTCACTTAACATAATGTCCTCTGGGTTCATCCATGTTGTTGCAAATGACAGGATTCTCTTATTTTTTATAGCTGAATAGTATATCCCATTGTGTATACATACCATATTTTCTTCATTCATCCTTGATGGACACAGGTTGATTCTATACCTTGGCTGTTCTGAATAGTGCTGCAGTAAACATGGGAGTGCAAATATCTGTTTTGACACACTGCTTTCATTTCCTTTGAACATATACCCAGTAGTGAAATGCTGGATCATATGGTAGTTCTATTTTTAATTTTTTGAAGAACCTCCATACTGTTTTTCTTAATGGCTATATAATTTACTATTCCACTAACAGTGTGCAAAGGTTTCCTTTCTTCTATATCCTCTCCAAAATTCATCTTCCACCTTTTAAACATTCTTTTTAGAGACAGGATCTCAGTCTGTCTTCCAGGTTGGAGTGCAGTGGTACACACATACATAGCTCACTGATGCCTTGACCTCCTGGGCTCAAGTGATCCTCCTGCCTCAGCCTCCCAAAGTGCTGGGATTACAGGCATGAGCCACCATTCCCTGCCTCTTTTATCTTTTAGATAATGGCCATTCTAACAGGTATGAGATGGTATCTTGAGGTTTTAATTCTCACTTCTCTGATGATTAGTGATTTTAAGCATTTTTTCACATACCTTTTGGTCATTTGTCTTCTTTTGCGAAATGTCTATTTGCCCATTTTTATTAATAAAATTTATTTTTAATTATTATGATACATAATAGTTATACATACTTTTGGGATACATGTTATGTCATGATAGAGGAATATAATGTGTACTGATAGAATCAGGGTAATTGGAGTATCCATCATTTCATGTATTTATCATTTCTTTGTGTTAGGAACACTCCAATTTGACTTTTAGTTATTTAAAAATATACAATAAATCGTTGCTAAAACTATAGTCATCCTATTGAGCTACTAACTACTAGATCTTATTCATTATATCTAACTGTATTTTTGTACCCATTAAACATCCCTTCTTTATACCTCCCCCGCCACCTGCCCACTATCCTTCCCAGCTTCTGGTAACCCTCTTTCTAGTCTCTATCGATTTTTTTTTTTTTTTTTGGCTCTCACCTGAGTGAGAACACGTGATCATTTGTCTTTTTGTGTCTGACTTGTTTCACTTAACATAATGTCCTCAAGTTCTATCCATATTGTTGCAAATGACAGGATTTCATTCCTTTTTATAGCTGAATAGCATTCCACTGTGTATATACACAACATTTTCCTATCCATTCATCCATTAACGGACATTTAGGTTGATTCCATCTTAGCTACTGTGCAATAAGCATGGGAGTGCAGGTATCTCTTCAATATACTGATTTCCTTTCTTTTGGATATATACCCAGAGTGGGAGTGCTGGATCCTACTCTGAGGAACCTCCATACTGTTGTCCACAGCGGTTGCACTAATTTACATTCCCACCAGCAGTGTATGAGGTTCCCCTTTCTCCATATCCTCTCCAGCATTCGTTATTGCCCATCTTTTCGATAAAAGCCATTTTAACTGGGGTGAGATGAAATCTTATTGTAGTTTTGATTTGCATTTCTCTGCTGATTAGTTATGTTGGCCATTTTTATGTCTTCTTTTTATTATTATTATTTTTTTGTTTTTGAGACATAGTCTCACTTTGTTGCCCAGGCTAGAGTGAGTGCCGTGGCGTCAGCCTAGCTCACAGCAACCTCAATCTCCTGGACTCAAGCAATCTTCCTGCCTCAGCCTCTCAAGTAGCTGGGACTACAGGCATGTGCCACCATGCCCGGCTAATTTTTTTTCCTATATATATTAATTGGCCAATCAATTTATTTCTGTTTATAGTAGAGATGGGGTCTCGCTCTTGCTCAGGCTGGTGTTGAACTCCTGATCTCCAGCAATCTGCCCGCCTCGGCCTCCCAGAGTGCTAGGATTATAGGCGTGAGCCACCGCGCCCGGCCTGTATGTCTTCTTTTGAGACCTCTGTTGCTCAGGCTGGAATGCAGTGGCACAATCATAGCTTACTGTAACCCTGAAGTCCTGGGCTCAACTGATCCTCCCACTTCAGCCTCCTGAGCAGCTGTGACCACAGGTGCATGCCACCATGGCCAACTAGAGTTTTAAAATTTTTTGTAGAGACAAGGTCTCACTGTTGGCCAAGCTAGTCTTGCACTCCTAGGCTCAAGTGATCCTCCCACCTTGGCCTCCCAAAATGCTAGGATTACAGGTGTGAGCCACTGTGCCCAGCCTTCTTTGCTCATTTTTTAATTCGGTTGTTTTCTTACTATTGAGTTGTTTGAGTTTCTTACATATTTTGGACATTAACCCCTTCTGATGTATAGTTTGCAAATATTTTCTTCCATTCTGTGGGATGTCTCTTCACTCTTTTGTTTCCTTGAATATGCAGAAGATTTTTAGTTTAATGTAATCTATTTTTACTTTTGATGCTTGTGTTTTGATGTTTGTATCCAAAAAATCATTGCCCAGATCAATATTATGAAGATTTTCTCATTTTCTTCTAATAGTGTTATAATTTATAATCTTACATTTAAGTCTTTAATCTATCTCTAGTTAATTTTTATACATGATTCATCTAGTCTTACAGCTTTGGTAATTATCTCTATACCAATGATTTCTAAATTTCTGTCTCTGAGATACTTCTGGTTTTCAAAAGAAGTGAAAGTCTGTAAGAAATCCCACAAACCTGACCACAGGCTCCTCAAATTCAGCAAACCCCAAACTATTAATAAACACATCATCTTCTCACCCAAACCTACTGGTTCTCAACAATCCATTATTTCAGTGTATAGAACTAACACTGATCCCATGGCTGAAGCCCGAAGCTTTCCATTCACTATCTTAACCTATCTCCTTCTCTTCCTAGTTCAGGTCTCCTCAGCACTCTCACCAAAATTACTACACAAGTCTATCAACTGGTCTGCCTGTATTCACTCTGATGCCCTCCAATCCAATCTTCACAATGAAGTCACAGTACTATTTTAAAATCACATGTGATCATGTATGTCACTTCTCTGCTTAATACCCTTCAGGATAAATTTCAAACTCCTTAAAATGGCTTATAAGATTTGGCTTCTACTCAACTTCTCAACCTTCCCTCCCTAGCTTCTAGAATATTAATTTCCCAATTTCCCAGAGTTTGTCTCATCTCTGTGCATTTGTTGATGCTGTGACAACTGCCTAGAACACTTTGCCTAACCAACTGTTTCCTCAGGACTCAGCTTAGATTTTTTTTGTTAATTTTTTGGCCATGCTAATCTCTGTATCATTCCAATTTTAGTATACGTACTGCCAAAGCGAGCACAGCTTAGATGTTTATATTAGAAGTTCCTTCTATATGTTCACATCAATCTGCACTTCCCTCTTCACAGCATTTGTCATGCAGTACTTTTAGTTGCCTGTTACCTTGTCTGAAACTCCCACTAGACTACAGGCTCCATGAGGGCAAGATGCATGTCTATCTTGTTTAAACAATATCCCCAGTGTTCA